TTGTTAGAGAGTAGGTTTAGACTAGATATCTGAAGGCACTATTTCACAGTCAGGGTGGCTAGGATCTGGAACCAACTTCCCAGGGAAGTGGTGAGGGCTCCTACCCTGGGGGTCTTTAAGAGGAGGCTTGACGTCTACCTGGCTGGGGTTATTTGAGGCCAGTTTTCTCTCCTGCCTGGGGCAGAGCATCGTACTAGAAGATCTACAAGGTCCTTTCCGACCCTACTTCTATGAATCTATATCATAATTGTATCTTGTATGTGAAGTTTGCAAGCTGATCTTAGAATTGAAAGGGATAGGTATTGACTGAATGAGGTACCTTTAGGGAGTTAATCACAGAAGACTCTTTTTCAGTAGTTATTTTAACAATGGAGCCTAATAAATAGCTGCATCAAAGATAGTGAAGATCAGAGACCCTTCGATACAGTAGGTATGAGTTTCAGAAAAATACACTGGTTTAGCATAATAAACATTGAGAAATTGACTGCCTATTTTGAGAAATATGTGTTAATGCAAATGCGAGGCACTGAGGATTGGACAATAGGTGTGAAGTAGGTTAGATGCAGTCACATAGACTGATTTACCATTATACACATTTTGAAATTTATAAAACTTTAGACAGGTATTGGATGTTTGTTTTGGGAAATAGGTCTTAATCAAAAAAGGAATGTGTTAACCAGGATATATTTACATTCATGTTTTCAGTATACCTTGGCTCTTCTAGTCCCTTACAGGCTTTGCTTTGAAGTGGATATTTTAGTTTTGTTTTCTTTAGTGACACTTAACTGTATTGAGGTGTAGATGTAGTTTGTAGGTTTCTCCCCAGGCCACTTGGCTTGCTCTCTGAGTTTTTGGTATATACATGTAATGAGTGTGCCAGGTCTCTGCCAATAATTTTAACCATCACTTTTAGGTTATTTTTAGGCTTAGGTGTGGTAAAAGGTTGAGGACTGTTATCATGACTGTTATTATATTATAGCATGGGTCTGGTATTTGGTAGTACAAGCTCCACACTCTCTCTTATGCCTAATGGATTGCAAGCCATTACCAAAGTTTGATTTTCTTTGTGGCAGGCTTGTTACCACAACCCAGTCTTGTCTGAGCCATTGTCTTGCATATTTGTGCAAAGGGTACTGGTCATAGACAACAAGGACAAGTTAAGAGTGTTACCTTTTCTCAGATTTAATGTTAGTTGTATAGCTTATGCAATGAAATGTGACATTTTAAACCTAGAATGTTATTTTATTCTAGGTCAGCCATTTTTAGACCAATCTGACCTTCCTAGAACTTCTGCACTTAAGTCCCCAGTTAGGTTGATCTAAGTGTAAATTCTGCACCTGGGCAAACTGAGTTAGATTGAATGACTATTTTAATGTGATCTAACCTTCCTGAATGAAGCCCAATGCTTATAAAAATAAAATAGCCTGCACTTAAATCTTTTAGTCTTACTGAGATTTTTAAGATTATTTTTTTCCCCCTCAGAACTGCATGGTAAATCCTAGTTAAATATTTTGTTCTCTATATGTGGTCAGAGATAGCCATCAAGTATCTGCATGTGCAGGGACAATTTTGACTCGATTTGATAATAAAATTTGTTATTCACAAGGAAAACCTGAGATTTAGTCCTCATTATTTTGTTCTAGTAAGTGTGTCCCTGCATATTTATCATAAAGTACTACTTAGTTTTGTATTAATCTTAAAATAGAGATCCCTAAGGATAGTTATTATATGTTTTTTCAGAGGCCAGCTGTTTCCTGAGAAAGAAAGAAAACACTTTATATAACAGCTTGTTTAGATTTTTAGAGAGATTTCAAAAAGAAATTGAAGACATTAAAAGAGATATAGTGTCCTTTGTGATTTAAAAATATATAATTCAGTCATGTCAAGTAAACATCACAATTGTTTTTCTTTCTACTATTGCACTTTAGAATGAAAAAGAACAATTATGTTCAACATATACCTAACAGAATTTCTTTGGCAATTATATTGCATCAGTGATAACCTCTAATTTATTGCAATGATAGCCAAAGACAAGATTTCTTTTCTATTATCATTTGTCTGTACATTCTGATATGTACTAATGTTGTTCTTTGACTCTTTTCTTAAGGGTATTATGTATGCAAGGAACAACTTCAGTCATGTAGCTAATATAAAACTTATTTTTTCATATACACTATATGATGATAAATCTGAACAGGAAGCTGGTTTTCTGTTTCCCTATGAAACTGACATTGCAAGTGAAATTTTCCAGCATTCTAGATAATTACATTAAATTGCACTTGGTTTTCTTTTGGTATGAAAATAATTCAAATGAATTACCTTCAGTAATTATGCAGGTAAATGTTCCTATTAATATTTTTCTTGAATTAGCCAAGAAAATAATTGTAGCATCCACAGTTTTTATTAACTTTAATAAAATGTGATAACTTGGGCTGTGATCCTGAAAGGTGCTGAAACTTTGGTCCTGGCCCAGTGAAACACATTTGAAAATTTTACTTTATTTTGGGCACATGAATAATCCATTAAGTGTATTCCTAAGGGGCTGGAAGACTCAGTATTTGCAGGAGCAAACTCATAAACTGAAAAGAGACTGACTTTTTGCATTCAGGTAACTGCATTTGATGGACCAACTTCCAATTTAAGGAATAATGTAGAATGAATTAGTAAAGTCTAAGGACCTGATCCTTTAACTACTTATGCTTCTTTCTTTATATGCACTAGCAGCTTCCCATAAAACCATTGTGTGCCTAAAGTTATTCACGTGTATGTTTGCAGGAGTTTTCTCATAATTTGGAAAATGCACATATAAGAATTTTATGAACAAAGTACATCTATATAGATGTAATTTTGCATTTTTTATAACATTTGTATACAGGTCATATATTCAATATTTGGTCTGTGGCTGTAAAGGAGATGCAAATCATTGGTTGTCTTTTTTTCTCGATTTAAGTCTAATGCTCTTGCTTTATCATTACATATTCCTTCCAGTAATTAATTAGATTTGTTAATCAGGTGTCTCAAATTGCATTACTAAATTTTTGTTAAAAAGCTCTTTTATCCCTCTGTCTCCAATATTTGGGAAAAGGCTAATAATGATTTGAAGCTTGCTGGAGGCACATAAATAATTTAAAAATGTAAAAATAATTGCATGATTTTTTGCAGTGTGCATATCTGAAACACTACTAAAGGATCAAAGCTCTGACAGCCAGAGAGATATTAAGGAGCAAACGGTAAAGATGAATATGTTCACATTCCTAGAATGTATTAATGAGTGTTTAAAAACTTGGAAAAGTGCTTTTGAATTATTGCTAAAAGCAAATTTTAAATAGTTGGGGTTTTTTTTACTATTTTGTCTTTTAAAATGAATAGAAATAATGATATGTTAGGCAAGTTGTTTTATTAAACTGTACAATGTATTAAATTAATCTAGAGCTGAATTACACCTGTTGCATAACATTATTATTATTATTATTATTATAAATATATAACTAGGGCATACTAGTTCAAATACTTTAAAAATCCCTTGTTTCTTCATAATCTACAGGCCCTACTTCTAAGGTTCTCAGTAACAGACAGAGGACCTTATTCTCTTATCCTTATTTCAAATATACTTTCATTTGCTTATGATAAGTTCCAAAATGTCTCCAGTCACAACTGGAGCCTATAAAACCTATAATTTCCTGTGATCCTATACAGAGTAAGTAATCATAAGCCCTCAGTTAGCAAGGGGTGAGGACTTAACTTCACGTCAGCTGATCCATGGGAACTGACTTCTACGTGTGTTACCTTTAAGTAAGAGCAAAACTAAGACAGTTTACCTAAAACAGGGTTAAACTTCAGGTTGTTTTCTCTTACCCTGTTGTGGTTGCAGGCCAAGGGATACTTATTTAACAGCAGCTGAGGTACAAATTCTAATGCTCTCTTAATTGATAGGGTTTGGCATCAATTGCAGAGAAACACACATGCCTGTGGCAGAACACTTTAACCTCCCTTAATGTTTCATCACTGACTTTAGAGAAACTGTTCTTAAACAAGAGAATTTAAAAACTTGAACACAAAATTGTGGAACAAGAAATCATCTACAGACTGCATTAAGAGTATGGTCTTAACCAGTGATTCTCAACAAGGTTCCTGGGGCACCCTAGGATACCTTGAGATCTTTCAAGGTTCCAGGCAATATTAGCACTGTTAGATATGCAAACATGATTTACAAGATAAACCCAGAGGATGTCTATAGACATCCTCCAATGTGTTCTCACAAGAATGCATTGGAGCAGACTGTCTGCTTGAGTGTTCTAATTAGAACTCTCCAGCATGCCTTACTGCCTCTTTTCAAAATCATCCTGCTTTTCAAAATCACCATGAGGGTGCTTTAACTAAAGCTCATCAAGTGAACTTTAGTTAAAGTGCTCCCACAGCCATTTTGAAATGTAGGGCACTTAATACACGTGGCAGTGAGGAGTTTTCATTAAAATGCCGCCTCCCCCCGCACCCTGTAGCATATCTATAGGCACCCAGAGATTTCAAATAGAAATTCATAGAGTTAAAACATTCTAACCCATTGAGCCAAAAGAGTTCTTTACAACAGGAGAATTATTCTCTTATTTTTCTCTAGTAAAAAAACAAGTAAACTAAGAATTGGCATTTTCCAAGGGGTGCCTTGAGTCTAACAAGTTTTCTGAATCCATAAAAGGATGAGAACCCCTGGTCTAAATACAGGTTATGGATTTTTATCCCATTATCTGGGCTAGCTTTTAGAACCCTTATATCCCTCAGTGGGTTAACTGCTTTGTTTATCATATTTGATCCCTTTAACATACGTTTTTAGCTCTCTCAGTAGTGCCAACACCTTCCCTCCCTTTCCTCCCATCACTTGTATATAAATGGCTGTATTCCTTTCTATTTAATATCCTGGCAAGTCCATTTTAGTAGCTGACAAAATAGGCTGTAGCTTACAAAATCTCATGCCTCTCTGAACAAGTTGGTCCATAAGGTGCCATGCTGCCCTGCCTTCTGTTTATATGTAAGGGGAAAATGATAATATATGGGAGAATTTGGGGTGTCATATGGTTTTCAACCTCAGTTGTAACTATTGTGACCCCACACAGAACTGGTCCATGTGTTTGGGAACTGCTGATTTTACACTTCCCACAACAATCAGTCTTTTGAAAAGTTTGCTAGAATATACAATGCAGCACTGTGCCCTCAGGTTGAGATCTCCAAAGACTTCATTATAAGTTGTATGTCTAATACAGGGGTAAGCAATTAACAAATCTTTAAGTGAACTAGATCCTGAGAATCTATTGATCTCTCTGGAGGCTGTTAACCTATTGGATGTTTAGAAAGTTTTCCTGTGACTGTAAAAACCAACAAAAACCTAACAAATGTTGGCTCTTCCCTGAACAAGAGAGCAAGAAGATGACAGTAATTATGTTTGAGTTATAATTCCACAAAATGCACAGGTCTATTTTTCTAAAATGTGCTAGAAAAAATTGCTCATCATTTGTAAATTAATGGCAGAATATGATGAAATTGCGGAGATCTTCAGCAGAATTATTCAGCTTCTATAATGGCATGAAAGGCATATGAAGACAATATAAACAAAAACATTTCTTCAGTTTACTGACTGGAGGATTTGATATAACAATGCCAATAGCAGCATTGATAGTGAAACAGTCTGTCAGTTAGGGAGTCCAGAAGCAAGCTAGAGAAGGGAAAAGATTTCTTTCATTATTTCTTTTTCCACTATCCCAAACTTTTCCCAAGCTTTTCCTAGCTAATGGAAGAAACATTTCAATTGCATAAGATAAATAACAATAAGTTCCTCAGCACAGGTTACACTTAAAACAGGATTATCTGTTTCATCATGTTTCAAATAGTGACCAGGCCACATGTTCATTCAGTTCATGGTGTTTTACAACCAGGAAAAAGTGACAAAGTTATTCCACAAAATATATGGAATAACTTTGTGGCTGGTTCTCATCATATCTTTAACTTGGGTATGGGCAAAATGTGGCCCAGGGGCCAGACATCGCCCGCCAGGCCATTCTATCTGGCCCTCAGGGCCCCTAAAAAATTTAGAAAATGAACATTTATCTGCCCTAGGCTGCCTGTCATGCAGCCCTCAATGACTTGCCAAAACTCAGTAAGCGGCCATCTGTCCAAAATATTTCCCCGCCCCAGCTTTAATTGAACATGTGCCCAGTGCTTCCAGCCTCCAGAGTAAGCTCCTGTGTTCTTCAGAGACTGGGAGCATTGGTCAGCTTATTGGGTCTCCCAGCAGAGGGAGCACAATGAATTCCCCTGGCTGGGAGTCCTGTCAGTGATTGGTGCACTCAGCCTGGGGTAGTGGGTGCACTATGTATTCCTGTGGCTGGGAGCTGTCAAGTGATTGGAACTTTCACCTATAGAAGTGCATAGTGCACCCTTCAGGCTTGGAGCTGCAATCAACTGATGGGGCTCACAGCCATGGAAGTGAAAATTACTGGTGCGGGAGTGTCGCAGGGCACTAAGGTGCCCATTCCTAGATGAGCAGAAACTTCCTGGGGAGAGAGCCCAAAGAGAAAGACAAAAGCCTAGTTGCAGGTTACCAGAGTAACAAGCCAGAGGGCAAATTAGCCTTCACCAGAACATGGTCAGCTGACCAGAAGGGGCAGGGCCCTGGGCCCTGGGCCCATATAAACCCCAGGCTGGAACTAGGGAGGGCAGGTCCCTGCTAGCAGCCAGAGGGGAAGGAGCCTCCAGGGAGGAAGTGCCCAGTGACGCATAAACTACCTGATATGCTGCATCTAGGGCTAATGAGGCTCCATGAGCTCTGCAGGTACCCTTGCCTACTAGACACTTAGTGCCAGGGACAAAGCCTGATGCTTTTAAAGGGGCAGAGCACATTCTGGTCTTTTGTATTATGTTATAACCCAGGGGCTTATGTTTGTTTGCTGTTTATAACATTGGTGGTTTGGGTGAGGCTATTTGGGGAAGGAGAAGGCCTCAGTGGGGGCCCACTACAGTGTGGGGACCCAGGCACCAGAGAGGGTGCAGCATTTGGGGTGCACAGACCCTGGTGCCAGTGAGGGCATGGAATGAGGGGTGCAGAGACAGGGCTGCAGAGAGCCTGGCACCAGGGACAGTGCAGAATGAGACAGGGCTTCAGAGAGCCTGGCACCAGGGAGGCATGAAGACTGGGCTGTGGAGAGCCCAGGGAGGACAAAGGGGCCCAAATCAAAGAAAGGCCTAGTCAAGACAATGTTGGTACCATCTGTGAGGCTTGGGGCATGGTAAAGGGGTGGTTGGAGCCACCCATATAGCTCATAAGATTGGAGTGTCCCAGGGCATCTCTTCTGAAACTGGACCCACAAGGGGTGCAGGACCCATGGGGTTCAGGGAAGTCCATTAGGACCATGCCCCAGGTGGCTTACCTAAAGAGATAGGGTAAGGTGTGTATCCTCTGCTGGGTCCATTCTAACCAAATTGTCACAGAGCAGAGTTTATG